ATTCTTTATAGCTCCGACACGCCTCCCCCGTCATTAGACCCATCTAATTTTCAGACAACAGACGCACCTTCCACATTCTCAATTCTCATTCCGCGAGCGGGCTCCACAGTCCAGAGGGACGGTGACAAAAAAAATCTAGACATATTTTATGATTGTCATTAGTTTTTTAATTTTAAATCTCTATTTTTTTTTTTTCACATTAAAATTTCAACTAAAATATTGATTTATAAAAAATTAATTACATTTTACTTTAATTAAAAAAATAATCATCAATACTGTAATACATATTATTAATAGAATAAGTAAAATTTTGTGTCCAGGATAGTCAAATGATAAAATCAGTTTTTTTTAGTGAAATTTAGTATCATTGCAAAGGTCTTAACTTGAATTTGTGCCTTTTCAAGGTTTCATATCATTCTCACCAATAGTTAATTTATGATGATAATTGTTTATGCTGCATTCAAAAATTATCTATCTCCAGATACATAATTAAGAAATGACCCTGTATCTCGTGAACTATTGACATTTTTAAAGATATAAGCTCATTCCAATGATACACTCATCAAGAGCTTTCATTTGAGTACCCACATGAATTTTTTATATATTTTTCGTATATACATATATATAAATATATGAAAAATTGATGTAGGTATTCAAATGAAAGGTCTCGATGAGTATAATGTCCGGGTGAGCTTATATCTTTAAAAATGTCAATAGTTCACAAGATATTTGTTAAAATGTCCTATATTTTCTTAACTACTGACGTTTTGAAAGATATAAGCTCATCCCGATGTTACACTCATTAAGTGCTTTCATTTGAGTACCCACATGGATTTTTAATATATTTTTCGTATATATATATATGTATATATGAAAAATATATCAAAATGCATGTGGGTACTCAAATGAAAGCTTTTGATGAGTGTAACATCGTAATGAGCTTGTATCATTAAAAATGTTAATAATTTACGAGATACAAGGTCATTTCTTAATTATATTTCTATAGTTAGAGCATTTTTGAATCGTCTTAATTTTTTATCCAATATTTCCTAATTGAAATATAAAATAAAATTTTTTTTATTACTATAATTTTTATACAAATTTTGGACTCAATATTTCTAAAATAAAATGTAAAGTGCAAAATTTCTATAATAAAAAATTTTTTAAACCTAAAATTTTTGACCCAATATTCCACTCTAACTTTTTAGTAATTAAAAGTTATTCCAAGTTTGCAAATAATAAAAGCAAATAATTAATACTCTCCAGAAAAGAATTGAAATTTTTCCAAGTATCAGATATGGACATAATTTGTTCTCGATAATTACACGTCCCTCGATACATACCTCATCTGAGAGTCTCACAACTCCGCTGTGCTAGACTGCATAGGCATGTGATAGGAGTGCAATGAAGATTATTAAGTATCAGGGAAAAATATTTCACTGGCGGCCTTTGATCGCTATAGAACAAGGATGAGATTAGCACCTAGCGTTTGATTTTACACGATCGCTACAAGTACATACGCCGTACACTATAACACTAAGCCAGCTTCTAGCTTCTAATATAACGAGTATAAGTAACAAGTAACGAGTAACGAACGACCCGGACGCGTGATAATAACAGGTGTACCGCACAACTAGCTACACATTACATCCTAATAAAAAAGGCTAGTTTTACACTTTTATAATCCAAACGAAAACACCGGATTAATAGATACAAATAGCCTGCTCCAGTATTAGATGTATTTATAAAGTGCCCTGTAATCGATAGTTGCAATCATTTATTTTTTTTACTTAAAGTGTTGTTTATTACGAGTCTCTAATACATAACGCGCGAGCGGTAGTCTATTACATATTTTTTTTGAGCGTGGGAGCGTAAAATAATTATCCTAGTTTCTTATGACTGTAATGATGACAATTTTTAAATAATTATAAATAAAAATATCAATAAAAAATTTTTTCTCTGAAATATCAAAATTACAATTTGGTTGGCTATAGTTACAAAAATCAGAAGCGAAAAAAAAATTTTTCTGTTAGTTTTAATATTAAAATTGAAAAATAAAAAAAATTTTTTTTTAAATACTTTAATAATTAAATAAAGACTTGTTAAATTGCACTGTACTTTCTCAACTATTGACGTTTTTAAAAATATAAGCTCATCCCGAGGTTACACTCATCAAGAGCTTTCATTTGAGTACCCACATGCATTTTCATATATTTTTCATATTTATATATATGTATATATGAAAAATATATCAAAATGCATGTGGGTACTCAAATGAAAGCTTTTGATGAGTGTAATATCGTAATGAGCTTGTATCATTAAAAAAGTCAATATTTAAGAAAGTACAGAGCAATTTAACAAAATTCATTATTTAATAAAGCAAAATTTTATTTATAGTTCATATGTCACGGCAGCGACATAGTGATTGCTAGTTTACATGAAAAATATTGGATCAAAAATTTTAATAAGAAATTTAATTTTTAAAAAATTTAACTGATTTATCTTTCAAATATTGCTCGATTATTTTGAGACAAATTTAAATAAAAAGAAATTGACATTTCATTTAAAAAATTTAATGAATAAAAAAATTAACAATAAAATAATTAAATTTTCAAATAATGTCCATAATTTCTCATTTATTAAAGCTAACGTCCCCTACTTTGTTATTATTATAATTATTTCACGGTGATGTCTATTGAAATTAAAGATTAGACGGTAAAACTTTATTCTCTCGAAGGCAACTAACTCTGGCGAATTTGGAATCACGTATGAGGACGGATCGGTAGGCGGTTCGCCGTGGACAAGCAGACGCGAGAGATTTTTCTGATAAACGACCGGCCGTTTCTCATTTCGTATACCGAGTTGAGAATTTAAGTCGGTACCGTGAAACAAGAGCGTGGGCGGGGCACCTGAGTCTGCGTTCTGCTCCAGAGAAGATTCCTTTTGTTTTAACTTTTTATTTTATTTTTAAGCAACCTCAATCTAAAAAAATTTATTTAGAAACTAGTTGGCATTTTCACTAATTTCAATTGCAAAATAAAAAATTTATTTAATTAATAAAAATAATTACCTTATTAGATCATTCGATTAAAACTTACACCAAAAACTAATTAACTTATAAATAAATCTCTGGTTGATTGAATAAATAATGAACTTAAAATTACATAAGAATAATTATAAAATAAAATAATAACACATATATAATTTTCAGTATAGATATTTTTATTTTAATAATGATGAGTGATTTTTTCTTCATAATTATAATTATAATTATAATTGATCTATAATATACATCATAGCGTTTGGTTTATACATAATTACAATGGTTAAATTATCGTCTCGCCATAATTTATTTATCTAGAGTACACATATCATAATACATAATACATCAATATTTAATATTTAATAATAATAATAGTAAAAATAATAATGAGAATATTATTAAATAATATATAAAATTAAATTTGAAAATAAAAAAACCATTAGCCTAACTTTTAACTTAAAACAAAAATAATAATTTCTCCACTTAATATAATAAAATTAACCAACATATATACAGTCGAGGAAAGTTGCGTACGACAAAAGCTTATTAACGGCGGCTTATTAATTTTAATTTATTATATATTTTATAAATCTCGTGATAATATTGACAGGCAGTGCGTTGATTTGCAAATAACTATTTAAATACACGCCTTTATTCTAATTTTTATTTTTATTATTTATTTATAATGATAAATGTATCATTAGGAAGTATTTATTCAATTAATTTTTTATTATTTTTAATAATAATAATAATGTTATTAATATTAATAATTATCGCGGCAGTGCCCGCTACTGGCCGCCAGTTTTATCCTAAAACAATAAATAATTATTTATATATTTCCCTCGTTCTTAATTTTACCAATAATAATAATAATAATAATAATAAATCTACACCAGAGAAGTGGCACCAGTCTAAACATCAATCTCATTAATTGCAATAAACTCCACTCTCTTAAATCTATAGAATTGCCATGTAGCTGCCATTTATTTTAATCGAGTATTACTTTACAAAATCGCGGAAAAATGAGAGCGCGATTGCAATATTTAATAATAACAATAGTATTAATTATTAATTATTAATTGATAATTAAATTCACTGATTATGTACATACAGATATACTAAGCAGATTAAATATATTAGCGTACACTAGTGCACGTAATCACAACAATAAAATTATTATCTCAATAATTTCCTTTACGGATTTTTAGTACAATAAATATCTCTCGCTACTTATTCTTAGAATATAATATTAGATTTTTTCTCCTCAAAATTAGTATTCAAAACACTAATATACATTTTTTTTTTTTTTTTTTAATTACCGAGAGACAAATCAAATTTATTATTAATCATTAATTAATAAATATTAAATGGTAAATCCGATAATTTATCACAACTATAACTTTATATCTACACAGTAAAAAATTTTGTGTTAGAAATTTTTATGTTAAATATTTAACACTTTTTTGTGTTAATTCAACACAAAATTTTTTGACGCAAAATTTTTTACTGTGTATATAAAAAAAAAAATTATTTTCCCATAAATAAAATTTGTCTCTATCAAGATTATTAAAAGGATATTTTCATATCAAAAGTTAAATCAACCGAACAAAAATATTACACAAGCAATAAAATAATTTTTTTTTATCAATTCAAAGTTCTTTTGATGCCTTTAATCTCACCAAGATCTCTTTAGTGAGAACAAGAAAATCCAGTCCATCCCACAATGTTTAAGAGCATTCATTTATAATAATAATAATAATAATAATAATAATAATAATAATAATAATAATAATAGTAATAGTAGTAATAATAATAATAGTAATAACAAAAAGAAATAATAAAATATTATCATAATAATACAATAATAAAAATAAAATTCGCCGTTTAGATTTCAGAATTACGGGTAAGGCTGTTCGTACCCGCGGCGGGAGATCGCGAGCGGATACACGGCCGTAGGTCACGAATTACCGGTGGTCGATAAAACAGGGAGATCCCTGTGCGCTTGAGGGTCCCTGGCGTGAGCGTCGCGAACTGTGCGTGAGCCAAAAATGCGATCGCAGCCAGAAATTGTGCACCTGACCTCTTCCATGGGCAATCTTTCCTCAAGGGAGCCAATGGGCGAAGTCGCGGGCGAAGACAGGGACTTAGAAGAACTGCGCTCTTCATTGAGCCTTGAAAGCTGGTTGAGCTGTGAAAGGTGCTGCTGAGTGAGTCCATTGAGGCCCGCTAGGTGGCTCGCAAATGAAGAGAGCCCCGGAAAAGGACTTAAGTGGGGCGGCATCAAGAGATGCGGGGGCGGAATCCTGGCGGCTAAATCTACTGCAGAAGGGAGCCCGTAGCCGAGACCATCAGCGTAGAGCCTGGCCAGGAAGTCGTTGTGCAGAAGCGGACTCATCTCAGCGTCCATCCTGGGCGACAAGCTCGGCGGGAGGCTGGAAGCGCTGGGCGGACTGGAGCTGGTGGAGAGGAGCTTCCTGTGGAGGTTCAGATTCGCGGAATGCCTGTCCCTGGAGCGCTTGGATGGAAAAGCGGCGTTGCAGCCGTCGACGCTGCACCGGTGCATCAGCTTGAGGTGGACGTTCTGGTAGTGGGTCTTGACCCCGAAGTGGTTCTGGAAGACCTTCCCACAAGCGGTGCACCTCCGGGGGTTGTCTCTGTCCAGCGGAACCTCCTGAGTGCTGACAAATCCGCCATTCTCGTACCTGGCGTAAGTGATGAGGCTATTGTCCGCATCGGTGGCCGCCGTTGAGGGCGAGGCGCTGGACGAGCGCGAGCCACGAGAGTAGTTGTCCATGTTGCTGCTGGTGTCCTGATGGAGGGTTGGACTCGAGCTGGAGAGCCGGACTGGGCTGGTGGAGATCCGGCCAGGCAGACTCGAAGTTGATCCTCTGGGCTCTCTGCTCCCCGGTCCGTACGGCCCCATCATGCGACCCTGCGACAAGGACTCGAGTTGACGCAATGCATTCGAGGAGTCGAGGGAGAGGTCGTCGGTGGCGGGAGGAAAGCTCTCCACCGAGCTCGGGGCTCGGGAGATCATTTCAGGACGCTCACCTTCTCTTTTCAGCTCCTCCTTGGAGTCTTCTTCCCGCTCCAGCTCCTCCTCCTCTGGGTCCGCTGGCTCCACTGGCTCCGGATCACGTTCTGGCTCCTTCTTCACCTGGACGGCCAGCTCCTCCGGAGAGTGAGACCTTTTGGGCGACCTGACGCTGCTGGCGTGGGAGCTCAGGTCTCTGGGCTCGTCATCGTTTTCTTCAGTCTCGATTCTCTCCTGCTTGACCGCTTTTAGGTTGTTTTCAGCGGGGGAGAGCGAAGCTTTTCGCTGTTCGGCCTCCAATCGGGACATCGACATGTCCTCGGGCTGGTCTTGGAACACGGCGTCGTTGGAAGAGTCGCCGTCTGTCGACGACGAGTGGATCTCTGTTGGCATGGCGCAGCGAGTCGGGTGTTGGGACTTTCGTTTTCTTACGCCGCGGTTGAAGGCGATTGAGTTTGGTTGAGTGTTAGGCTGGTAGTGAGCGTTGTGGTTGTTGTTATTATTGTTATTACTGGTGTTATTATTGTAATTGTTATTATTACTACTGCTATTGTTGTTATTATTGGTGTTGTTGTTATTATTAAAGGAGACTGAATGATCAGCAGCTCCTGTGGAGTCAGCATCATCAACACTATCGGCATTGCTGACCAAATCTTCCTCGCCTTCAACAGACAACTTGGGTCTCTTCGCCAAATTGAAAGGCTGGGATTCCCTGTCATCTTCGCTCCTGACCATGGTAGCGTCCATAGAGTCCATTTCATCTCCCACAATAACAATTCCTTCTTCATCATCTTCATCTTCCTCCCCTTCAAGGATAATCGAGGGCGTTTGAGAGGACGGAGAAGCTCCACCAGTGGTGCTTGCGGTGCTAGGAGGACCTCTCATGTGAGCGCTGGTTGTGATAGTATTAGAAAATGCGGAGAAAGGCCCAGTGGAGGGAATAGTAGTCGCTGCAGTGGTAGTTATCATCCTCTGATGCATAGCATCTTCATACATAGCCTGGCTCTGCGTCGACGATAATTCCAAGTGCTTGAAGTCCAGAGCACAAAGAGAAGCAGGAGATCTGAGCTCTGGCGGCGGAGTCAGTAGCGGAAAAGACCCAAAGGGCAGATGGTTCAGCCCACTGGCAGGGACAGGCAGTCCAATTTGCTGGGGCAGAACCAACGCGTGGGCCATTGAAGATCTTCCGTCGTGCGGCGAAATCTTCCGACGCAGATGTGGTGAGTGGAGTTTAGGGTTCGGGTTGGCGCTGTGCCGATTTCGGGATCTTCTGGAGCTGAATTTGGTGTTGCAGCCTTTTACAGTGCACTGGTGCATCTCTCTAAGATGGACCGCGCTGAAGTGGATCTTCAGGGCTCCTTTGTCGCAGAAAGTCTTCAGGCAGACGTTGCATTGGACGCGTTTCTTCCCTGTAGCGGGATTTATGAAGGGCGTTCCCAAATTGGGAGGCAGGTTGGAGGTTGTTCCCCATTGGCTGCGTTTTCCGGGTGATTGGGACTTTCTTCCGGGGACTCCGTGGGGCCTGGAGAGCGTAGAGGTTGCATGGAGGGCAATAGAAGGGTTTCTGGAGGCCCTTTTGTCCTGCCTTGCGGAGTCTTTGCGGCTTAAATTGAGCGCGCTGCCGGAGTTTTCGTCATCGTCCTCCGTCTCGGAGCCAACTTCGCTGATGCTCTTCTCTCCTCCGCTGAAGGATAGGTCTCCTGGAGAAGTCAGTCCGGAGTTGAGCTTCCCGATTCCATGGTGAGAGAAGTTCACGGGGAAGTTCGGGGGCAGGGCCCCGGAGGAACCGGCTACGGCTAAAGGATGACCGAAGGCTAGAGCGGTTGTGGAAATGGGCGCCACTGGCATTGGGGGCCTCAGTTGGGCCGTTGAGTGGTGGGGAGGGCTATGCGGCCGCAAGGATTTTCGAGCTTGGATTAGTTGGTCCAGCGGCGGCGGCCCCAGGTGTGGAAAACCTGCTAAGCCCAGGCCTCCGAATTCCCGGAGGTCAAACGGCTGCATGTTCTGGAGTCTGTTGAGCGGCGAGGTCAAGTGCGAAGACTCGATTCGTGGTGAGGTGGTGATGCAGCTGTTGGCTGATGATACTGCTGCTGAGGATGATGAGGCGGATGTGGCTGATGCTGTGAAGTGCTTGGTCTGGGCGGACGGCGACATGGAGAGGTGGGATGACGTGGTGGGGGGAACCTGAAGCGAGGGCCCGAGTCGAGATCCTGGATGCGGCAGTCGGCAGTGGAGCAAGTGCATCGATGGCGGCAAGTGGGCTAATGGCATAGTCGGCGGAGATGGACGGCGGCTCGGTGACATAGCATCCGTGGAACCCGAACCGGCAGCCGCTAGGAGCTGCTGCACCAGTGGACGCGTTTCTGGGAAACGAAGGAACTGTTGCAACACCAGCGGCTCCTCCTCAGCTGAACATATGCTCCATCGGTCCAGCAGTGGGCCGTTCTGCGAGTCCTGAAAGCAGAAAGATGGTTTTTTATTAGTCATGATTTGATTTATGTTTTTTTTTTTTTTTTTTTGAGTAATTATGGAAATTAAATAAAATTATGGACATTTTTTTTTCATGATGAAATTTAGATTGATGTTAATTGTGAAAATTTGACGATAAATGTTAATGTAAACATAAATTTGAAATGAAATTGTAGTTATTGATTGATTAAATCTATTTATGTAATTTATTATTCATTTATATATGACAAAAAAAATTTTATTATTACGTAATAAATTAATTTTTTTTTAATTTTAATTTATTTTTTAGAACAATTATTAGATGTCTATTAAATTTTTCAATATTATGAAATTTTAGTGAAGTGAAAGTATTAAAAATAGAATGTTTCGTATTGAAAATATCAAAGACCTTTATTAAACATTTCTCAACACAAAAATTGTCATTAAAAAAATTCAATAAAAATTTCACGTGTAAAAATAAAAAAAAAAACTAATACAATTTTTATTTAATTTTTAAGAATAGAAGTTTGACGAATTAGTCAATTATTCTTTCTCTTAATGCTCTTGCCCCCATGAAAAAAATATGTATAGTAAATATATTTCAAATATATTTTTTTAATATTTTTAGCTATGTATTTTTTATGTATTTTAATATATATTTTGAATACATCTAAAATATATTTAAAATATATATGAAAATCGGCCAAATGTTAGTTATTAATAATATATTTACTATACATATTTTTTATATGTTTTTTATAGATTTTTAATATATTTAAAATATATTTTTTATCTATTTCGACATATATTTTTTTTCATGGGGGTGAATAAAAATTCAAAAGCTTCTTTATAAATTTCAAATTTATCATTCCTTTACTTTATATTTGATCTTTTGAAGTAATTTACTAATGATTGAAAAATTCTATTTAAAATTTTATAACAAAAAACTTCATCAAAAATAAAATAAAATATTTTTCTCCCACAAAAATACTAAAAAAATTCTTATCACACAAGAATCTACGACCCGAAACCTCCACTTGAAAACAAAAAAATTCCAAACTCACAAAATATTTTCATTAGTGCACCCAAATTTATTTATTTAGAAATAAAATAGGACACTTTGAGTAAACTGAACTCGTCATTGGATTAAAATAATCCTATTTTGAAATTAACAGTTCGGCTGAGTATCTCCGAGGTATATAATAGCTTAGCGCTGAATCGGCGAACGATTATATCTTATATCTGTGATATAAATTTAGGGTGACGGTGTATACAAATTTCCGTGAGTTTGTCTTTAATATCTGGTCCTCTAGCTCGGTATATCTATATCTATCAAAACGAGCTCCACATGCAGCACACTACAAATACTCACACACTTATAGAATAACAGTAACAGTAAAGATTGTTTATTTACTCATGCCGACAAGACGGAGGTAACGCAGGACGCCGCGACGCTTACACGTCTTGTATATTTTCTCGAGGGTAAGAGAAGACCGCCCGGTGTGGCCACTCGTCTTCCTCTTACTCTTTTTCACTCTCCACACATTACATCGACCTACCTACATTCTACATACCATGCAGAACACACATGACACGCTAAAGCAATATTAAATATTAAAGATTAAATATTAAAATTAAAATTAAAATAAAATAGCAAGTATTAACTACTAAATACTAAACACTAAATGTATATTTAGCGGATAAACGTGTACTGCACGTAGCACGTCCACTCTAGGTTCCACGTATGATTATGATACCAGCAGCGCTGGAGATCGAGATGGAGCATTAGACTCTCTCTTCCGTGTGTAACCTATGAACCAGGGCTACGTGGAAATTCGTCATGGTCCGTTAGCGTCCATCATGATCATCGGGAATTAAAGTCACGGAAGCATGTGTTCAACTTCTCTTCTCTTCTCTTCTCCGCCGATTATAATAATGATAATAAAAATAATAAATAGTTTAAGAGATAAAAATAAAAATCATGTAAATGATAAAAAGCTAGATCGAGATGGCAGGGGTCATCTGAGCATGTTCTATCACTCACGGACACACATGGTAGTTTTACTTCTATATACGCGATCTGTTATTATTATGGTTTATATTCATTTTCTCCAGATGGGATATTTAACTTCAGGTATCTGCCTGTTTTCTAAACTCGGGAAATTTTAATCCTAAACGTTTAATCAGCGAGCTTTAGATTGTTGCGAGTAATTGATTTCAAGGATTTGGGGTTAAATCAATTCAAGAATCATATTTGTGATTATAAAGACGAGGTTTCAGGAAATGGATGGTCAATCTAATGGGATTTTTTATTTAATATAATGAGTGGTATGGTTTGATTTGAAGTATTTTGTAAAGAATGATACTTAAGATCTAGAAGAGAAATCTGAAATTTTATAGTTTAATAAATTATGGACTTATAAATATATATTGGATATTTTTCAAACTTGAACTTTTAGTGGTTTGGAAAATAATTTGTTTTTATATTTTATTCAGTATTTATAATTGATGATTATATTATTAAAAGAATAAGAAAAATTTTGTGTCCAGGATAGTCGTAAAATCGTCTTTTTTAGTGAAATTTAGTGTATTCGAAAATGCTCTATCTCTAGATACATAATTAAGAAATTTATCTTTTGAACTATTGACAATTTTAAAGATATAAGCTCATCCCGATGTTATACTCATCAAGACCTTTCATTTGAGTACCCACATCAATTTTTTATATATTTTATATATTTATATATTTCACAAATACCATATATATAAAATATATAAAAAATGCCATGTGGGTACTCAAATGGAAAATTGATGTGGGTACTCAAATGAAAGCTCTTGATGAGTGTAACATCGGGATGAGCTTATATCTTTAAAAACGTCAATAGTTAAGAACTGACATTGCTATCTTGTCAACTAATGATATTTTTGAAGATATAAGCTCATCTCGATATTACACTCATCAAGACCTTTCATTTGAATACCCACATCAATTTTTCATATATTTATATATATTATATATATGTAAATATGAAAAATATATAAAAATGCATGTGGGTACTCAAATGAAAGCTCTTGAAGAGTGTAACATCGGGATGAGCTTATATCTTTTTAAACGTCAATATTTAAGAAAGTACAGTGCAATTTAACAAAAGTCATTATTTAATAATGCAAAATTGTATTTATTTATAGTTAAAAAGTCACCAAAGACATAATTACTGCAAGATTGCTAGTAATAATGAAAAAATTTATTAAAAAATAATTATTGTAATTTTTATTAAAAAATATATCTATTATTCAAAAGACAAAATAGAGAAAAAAATTTTTTTTTCCTTATTTATTTATTAATAATTGAAATTTATCCTAATATTAATTTTTCATGAAAAATTAAAAAATATTTCTGTTACTAAAAAGACAAAATTTTGACATTTGACATTAGAAAAATTTCCAAACCAAATTGAAAAAAAAGACTATTAAAATAGAGAGTGATTAAGTAAAGTCGATGCGTCGTATGTCATTTAAAAAAAAAAACAAATAAAAATTTAGTTAGATATGACTAGAAGGTAGCTGTATAGTTGTAGAGCGATAGATGATGAGCCTCAGAGAGGTGAGACTAATGACTAAACGTGTTACGTAAAGTAAGAAGGATCTAGCCTACTCCGGTGATGAGAATGCTAAATAAAAGGCTACCGCGTGCCTCAGCAGAGACTAAGACCGTGAGACCGAATTTTAATCCTCGCACGCGAACCAGAGCACACCTTTTCTTTCACTCCCATATTTTTATTTTAATCTGCTCTTCTTTCCCTCTACTTCTGGTGCTCTATGCTTCATATACTGACACTCTACTCCACAAAGCCTTGTACACGGTGAATTAAATATTTAACGTGTACCATCTTGGCTGGAAAAAGTCCACACACACCAGAATTGTACGGAACAGGTATGTTACAATTACATTAGGTCTAGTTATTTCCACTCCATATTACTCGCACTCTCGTCACGCGCGACGTGGAATTCGGGTCGCGTGTCGACAGGTTACCGTGAGATCTACACGCCAAAAATTTTATTTTCCATTTTTAATAGTAATACCTATGCACATTAATTCGTTATTACAATCATCACTATAATTAAAATCACGGCTGCTATTAAACTCCATTTTTATTTATCTCCGGATGTGGATTAATTATAAATATCGCGTGTGTAATTGCGCCCCGACTATGTATTTTGTTCGTTAATATATTAGTCGACTATTTTCTCATTGTCAGTCTAGTCCATCTTGTTGTTTTATTGCATTTTTTATTTTAAATGTAAGATTGAGTCGCGGCCTACGAGCATATATTCCCTCTCCGCAATATAATAGTTTTATATGGACCTCCTACACCTGCGTTTCCACTCGGTACGTGGCGTCACTCAGCGGTCGATGCTTGAACTTATGTTTGTCCTCTACAATATTTTCTTCTTTTAAATTATTTTTATTGAAAATTTTTTACTATTTATTTTATAAAAAATTGGAATTGTGAATTTATATTTAATAAATTTTTTTAAAATTCATTTATTCATTTCTTCTTTTAAATTATTGTCATTGAAAATTCTTTACAATTTATTTTATAAAAAAATTGTAATTGTGAATTTATATATTTAATAAATTTTTTTTTAATTTATAGAGAATTTTTAAATTATCATATTATTATTGTAATTTTAATAAATTAATATCAAGAAAATTTATTATGAAAATTAATTTATCAGATATTTTATAATTTTAAGTATTTTTTCAACAAATAAATTATGTCAAAAAAAAAAATTGACATTTAGAAAATTAAAAAATGCAATTTTTTAGAAATAATTTTTCAGAGAAAATTTATTTATTAAAAAAAAATTAAAAAATGGTCAAGCGACTGCTAACTTTAATGTCATAAATTTAATATAAATTTGACTTATAAAAATTGAAAAAAAAAAAAAAAAAAAATGATTTTCTTAAAATTAATTTGTTTGTAGAAAAAAATTTCTAGAAA